ACTCTCGGTAGCTTGCCGGGCTCTCCGAGAGGGGTGGAGGAATCGAACTCGGGTCAGCCATGTTGGCTGCGTGCAAGGCAAACGCCCTACCGCTGTGCTATCGCTCTAGCCCTTAAAAGACATATACATATATATGTCTTTTAAGCTCCCCAAAAAGGAAAAACACACATTCTTCTCCCATGTCCACAGAATATTCTTCATGATAGGCAACATGCTTGGCCATAAAACATATCTCCATAAAGTCGAGAGCATAGAAAGCACATCAACTATTTTCTCAGACCATAATGCTCTGAAAATAGAAGTTAACCAGAAACAGAAATGGAGAAACAACTCAAACAGCTGGAAATTAAACAGGTCACTATTGAAAAACCAGTGGGTCAGAGAGGAAATCGAAAGAGTCCTAGAAACAAATGAGGATGAGGACACGAACTACCAGAACTTTGTGGGACACGGCAAAGGTGGTGTGAAGAGGAAAGTCATAGCTGTGCGAGCATTCATCAGGAAGGAAGAACGGGCACATCGGTAACCTACCAGCAAAGCCTGAGAAACTGGAGAATGGCTGACAAAAGGAGCCACAGCAGCGAGAGGAAGGAAATAATAAAACTTAGGGCATAAATAAAAGAATTGGAATCCAAAAAACAATCTAAAAGATGAGTGACACAAAAGCTGATCCTTTGAAAAAATACACAAGATTGATAAACCATTAGCAAGACTCGGAAAGAAACAGAGAAAACACAAATTAACTGAATCAGAAAGGAAAAAGGAAACATCACAACAGATACCACAGAAATTCAACGTGTCATCAGAGATTACTTTAAAAATCTGTATGCCACTAAGCGAGAGAACCCAGAAGAAATGGAGACATTCTTGGATTTCTGTAACCTCCAAGGCTGAACCAAGATGATCTAGAATACCCTAACAATATCGAGGAAATTGAAATGGTAATCAAATCTTCCCAAAAGCAAAAGCCCAAACCCCGGTGGATTCACTAGTGAATTCTAAACCTTTGAAGAAGTCAATCCTATTTAGCCTCTTCCAGGAAATTGAAGAAACACTACCAAACAGTTTCTAAGAAGCAAACATTACCCTGATACCAGAAGCAGACAGAGGCACCAAATAAATAAATAAAGTTAATTGATTCCAAATAATATTTACTCTTGGGCATCCATCATATTTACCTGACTTAAGCCTCAGTGGCCCTTACTTCCTAACACCCCCAAAAGGAGGGTCCCGATGAAGGGACGGGATGGACCCAGGGCAAGCCATAAGCTACCCTGGCACCATTAGGGTATTCTAGATCATCTTGGTTCAGCCTTAAGCCCCATAAGTATAATAAGCTAAGAGCATGGTCATGGAACAAACTCTGTCATGGCCCAAAAAGAAGTAACTGGATAAGGGTCCTGCTGGGGTTAGGAAAGACTGACCTGGCCTGTGGACCACTAGGACTGTGGTCTTGGTTATCTAGGGAGATGCCCCCAGGAAGACTCATCCTTTAAGTTTAGTATATCTCTTTCTGTGTTCATACAAAATGACTAAAAATATTATAAGAAGTAAATTTACTATGATTGTTAAAATGGACTGGGCTGCAGCGACAGCACAGTGGTAGGGCATTTGCCTTGCACGCAGCCAGCCTGGCCAAGCCAGGTTCAATTCCTCCGCCCCTCTCGGAGAGCCTGGCAAGCTACTGAGAGTATCTTGCCCACACGGCAAAGCCTGGCAAGCTACCTGTGACGTGTTCAATATGCCGAACAAAGTAATAACAAGTCTCAAAATGGAGACATTACTGGGCCCACTCAAGCAAATCGATGAACAATGGGAGGACAGTGCTAAAATGGATTACTAGGAGAGGAAAGGAGAAAGCAACACACCCTGAATGGAATCCTGCCGTTGAGTGGATCTCCTAGAATTCTGGAGTGCTGAACCCTTAGATGAGATCTTGTCCTTGAGTTAATCTCCTAGAACTTCCCTGAAGGAGGGGCTTTACCTCTGTTTGTTGTGATGGCAGTGTTCAACCCCACCTATGTGTCCTCCACCCTTCACGGTTTCTATATAACTGTGATGTAAGGGAAAGGAGAGGACTAGATAAGGACTACGAGAAACAGAAGGACTAGACGAGAACGAAGAAGACTACGATGATGAGGACGAGGGAGCAGTGATGACTGGGGCTACGACCAACCTACGACTATGATTGTGCTATAAGGGAGAGATTGGAATATGCTGGGGAGGAGAGAGAAATAAACTTGCTACCGGCCAGCCAGGCCCTGCTTTCTCCATTCCTCCCACCCTTCGTCCACCTGTCGCCATGGGCCGGCCAAAGGAACAGCTCTCGGTCACGAATGCTTGAGTCCCACACATGTGCCTGCTCTTTTCCTTCAAAACACACACCATGATCAACTGGGACTTATCCCAGCTATGCAAGGATGGTTTAACATATGCACGTCAACCAATGTAATTCACCATAACAATATAAGGAAAAATAAAAATCATATGATAATATCAATAGATGCAGAGAAAGCATTTGACAAGATTCAGAATCTATTCATGATAAAAACTCTCAACAAAATGGGAACTGAAGGAAGTTTCCTCAATATTGTCAAAGCTATTTACCATAAGCCTACAGCAAACATTACAGTCAATGGGGGGGGGGGGGGGGAATAAAATCCTTCCCCTTAAGATCAGGCACAAGACAAGGTTGCCCAATCTCACTACTTCTATTCAATACAGTACTAGAAGTACTTGCCAAAAGCAATCAGGCAAAAAAAAAAAGATAGCAGGGCATCCAGACAGGAAAGGAAGAGGTCAAGCTCTCATTATTTGCAGATGACATGATACTATATTTAGAAATCCTAAAGACTTAGAAACCCTAAAAATTTCCTAGAAATAATTGATTTGTACTATAAAGTGGCAAGCTACAAAATTAATACACAAAAGTCCATGGTTTTTCTATATGCAAATAATAAAATAGAAGACAAATATACCAAAAAACAATCCCATTCACAGTTGTGCCTCAGAAAATCAAAAACATAGGAACTGGCTTAACTAACGAGGTGAAAGACCTGTACAAAGAAAACTACAAAACACTACTTCAAGAAATAAAAGATAACACAAGAAAGTAGAAAAACATCCCCGCTCATGGATTGGGAGGATTAACATTGTCAAAATGTCAATACTTCCCAAAGCATTCAAAGAAATAGATCAAAAACTCATAAAATTCATATGGAACAATGAACCCCCATGAATAGCTAAGTCAATCCTTAGGAAAATGAAGACAGGAGGTGTTGCCTTCCCCAACTTCAAACTGTGCTATAAAGTGGTAATTAAAGCAGTGTGGTAATAGGAAGAACCAGGACAGAGCCTTGGGTCAATGGAATAGAACAGGAAACTTAGCGGTAGACCTTCAGGTATAAGGTTAGTTAATCTTTGATAAAGGAGAAAAAATATGAAGTGAAGCAAGGAAAGCCTCTTCAACAAATGGGATGGGAAATTGGCCAGACACATGCAAAAGAAACTGAACTCAGACCATTTTCGAATGCCACGTGAAAACCAAATCAAAATGTATTAAAAACCCAGATACCAGACCGTAATCCATGAGGCATATAGAGGAAAATGTAGGAAGAAGTCTCCGTATCAATGAAGCCAGAGGCATCTTAAGGACGAAATGCCACTGACCAAGCAGATGGAAGCAGAGATAAGCATATGGGACTGCGTTAAATTAAGAATCTTTTGCACCTCAAAGGAAACGATGAACAGAATAAAAAGACAGCCCACAGGACGGAAAACATTATCTGCTCACCACTCATCTGATATTCAAGATGTGTAAAGCACGAGTAGAAATCCACAAGACCAAAAAAAAAAAATATCCAACCCTATGAAAATATAGGAAGAAGAGATGAACAGGAGTTCCCCCAAAGAAGAAATACAAATGGCCGAAAAGCATATTAAAATGCTCCATTTCACTAACGCTCAGGGAGATGCAAATCAAAACAAGAGTGTGACAGCCCTGCACACCACAGAGACTGACACTCGTCAAAAAGAACGGCGGCAACCAATGCTGGCGAGATTGTGGGGAAAGGGACCCTCATTCCTGCTTTCGGAGATGCGGGCTGGCCCAGCCTTTTCGGAAGACACATGGTCATTGCTCAAAAAAAGTTGGAACTGTGCTCCCATATGACTGAGCAATTCTACTCCGGGAATATACCCCACACTCCCAAAAGCACGAAGCAGAAACGACATTGCACTCCTATGCTCACTGCAGCGCTACATGCAACTGCCAACATGTGGAAACAAGCTGAGTGTCCAGGAACAAATATTGGATAAAAGAACTACAGCACATGTACAAAGTGGAATACTATACAGCCTTCAGACAAGATAAAGTCATGCAATTTGCTGCAACGTGGATGGGTCTGGAGAGTATCGTGCTGAGTGAAATCAGCCAGAAGGAGAGGCACAGACTCAGTCATGCCTCCTGTGTGGGGGATAAAACCTCGTGGGGGGATGGCAAAGGCCCAGTGGCCACAGAAAAGAAGAGCAGGAGAACTCAGCACTGGGGCAGGGGTTGGACCACTAGGATGGGGGAGGGGCAGTGCCGGCCACAGAGGCAGGCTGGGGAGTGGCGGAATGGAAACTGGGGACATTGGTGAGGGTAGTGGGCACTGGGGAAGGGACGGGTGCTGGAACAGGGTGCGGCTGAAACTCAGCCATGAATATCTTTGTAGCTTGAAATTCTCAGTGATTCCATTTTAAACAAAGAAAAGAGAAAAGAGAAAAAAGAGAGAAATTGAGCTGCCGCTGCAGCCTCTGACCTGGACCCAGGGGACTGGTCCTGCCCACGTCCACTGTCCCCACGGTGCAGGAGCAGGGGCTGTGACTCCCGCCCAGGGGTCTCCGAGGATGCATCCCCCTGGCAGGGCCCAGGACTGGGAGCGCGTGGGCTCTCTGTGCGCCCTCCGCGGGTGGATGCAATGCACCCCACACCCCAGGGAAGGGACCCGTCATCTTACCTGAAAGTGGGATCTCGATGGCCGTGCAGACGCTCAGCAGGAAGGCGCCGAGATACCAGGCGCATCCTCGGTCCTGCCACGGGGTCCCCATGGCTCCTTGGGGCCGGGGCTCAGAGACTGGCCAGCGCCTCAGGACTCTGGTATGAGCGGCCGTGTGAGGGCCTGAGGGAAGCATGAGAGACAGTTAGTGGGAGACTCTACACGGGCCCGGACAGGCCGCAGATGCCACGGCCACAAGCCAAGTTTCCTCCTCACACACCTCTGAGCTCCCTCCTGGCCAGTCACAGAATGAAAGGGCATCAGGGCGGCCCAGACCATCCAACACACCTGCCTTCACGGGAGGCCCCTGACCCCACCTGTCCCACCTGTCCCGGACACCTGCCTTCTGAGGAAGACGCTGACCCCGCCTGTCTGCCCCACAACCCCAGCCTGCAGGAGGGCCCCCAGTATCAGCACGTGTCCAACCCCATCTCTGCACAAGGCAGCCCCTTCACAATCAATCCCGCCCCAGGCCATTGCTAAGGCCCACCCAGGCCCGAACTGGTTTCTAACGCCTCCTGTTCAGTCTCTGCACCAGAGGATGTGGGCACCAGTGGGAGGGGAACTGAGTCTGCCCAGGAGGAGCACCAGGTGGGCACCGAACCCTGAGCACAGCCCAGGAGTGCCGGGGTCCCGGCTGCTCCCACCGGCCCATGGGCACCCGCAGACCGCAGAGAGATGCAGCGAGCCCTGGGCTCTCGTATGTTTCCTTCCTTCCTGAGACCCCCTGACAACAGGTCCTGGACACTGCTCACGAGCGGTGCCGACAGTGGACCTGCTCCCCACACAATGACCAGCTCCCTGGGGTCACCGTCTGCTTCCCACTGGGCTGGTGAAACAGAAGGAGAATGAAGCCCGCGAGCGAGTGGGTCTGCAGCGATTCACATTCTGGATTCCCACAGACGAGGCATCACCAGCCGGATGCGAGCCGGCGGCCACATTCCATGCAGCAACTTCGCTGCGGGATTCTGAGCTCGAGGTGCAATAAGCGCCCCCGAGATCCATCAGAGGAAGGAAGGTGCTCGAATCGCCACGGAAACCATTGGCTTCTCCCCTCTCGCCTCTGAGCCTGGGCAGACGGAGGAGAACGATCGGATCTCGTGGCCCGCCTCCCCCCACCAGCCTGTCTACTGAGTGAGCTGCCGTCCCACTGCAGAAGCCAAGCAGGCGCCGACCCCTGCCCGCAGCACCACCTTCCTGCCCCCTGTCCATGGCACAGGCCGGGCCCACGCCCTGCCCAGGAGGGCTCAGAAGGAGCACCCGGCCCCTCCTATGAGCTGACCAGCCTCAGCAGGACCAGCTTGTGCAGGACCAGCTTGTGGTCAGTGGTGTCCACCTCTCCCCTCACGTCTGGACCCAGGAAACTTCGCCCCGGACGATGCTGCATGGATGCCCATCCAGACCACCCAGAGGGCAGACGGACACGGAGGCAAGGTGACAGCGGGCCCCTCCTCTGACCGCTCTTGCGGGATGCTGCTTCAATCTCCCAGAGACCTGGGGGCGAAGAGCTCGGGATGGAGCAGTGACGAGCGAGCCGGGGCCTGTGTGTGACCCCGGCAATGAGGGCAGCAGGAGAGGGTCCCCCTGGGGAGGAAGGGCGGGAGTCAGGAAGAGGGGGGTCCCTTGGGCATCAGCGTGAGTGGAGAGACCAGAAGCACGCGGGTCCAGGCCCTGAGCAGGACGTGTCGCGCTCCACCCCAGGAGAGCCCGGCCATCCCCCGGGGATGCCCACGTGGGCCCTTTGCAGCTGGGTGGGCCTGAGCCGAAGAGGAACACGGTCCTGCCTCATGAATGTCCCTTCCCAGCTGGGCAGGCTCGCCTCTGCTCTCAAGTGGACAGGGCCAGCCACGCCCCATCCTGCCCGCACTGATGCTCCCACGTGCTAGGTAGCCACACTTCACCCCACCAGGCTCGGGGCTGTCGCTGCTCTGCTCCTGGCCCAGTGCTCTTCTGTCCGGAAGCTTCTCTCCCTCTGGGCACGTGGCTCCAGCCAAGCACCTGCTCCTGCAGATGGGGCTGAGACCCGCCTGCCGGGTCAGAGGGTGGCCAGGGCAGCGGGCGGCGGGCCGGGGAGGAGCCGCGCACTCAGGCGTGCCCGTCTGGCCTTTGAGGTTGTAACAGAAGCGGCCTCCGGCCAGTGGCTCTGCACAGACACATTCAGGTCAAGTTTCTAGGGAGAAATTGCAACAAAGGGAACAGGACTCCAGGACGGCACTGCTGAAACCCCGTTCCCATGGCAGCAGGACAAAGCCCACAGCCCGGCCCACCCTGTGCCAAGAGCCCGGAATGTGGCCCCCACGTCCAGCAGCTCCTAGGAGCTCAGGCCCCCAGGTCCCCACACGGAGTGACCAGTGCCCACAGCTCGTGGAATCCTGAGGTGCCTGAATCCGGAGCCTGGACTTCGAGGAGACTTACTGGAGTGGGGGGGTCCACACACAGCTTAGTGGACCCCTGGGCACTGCGGCATGGGGGACACAGAACAGTGGGACCACAGGGGACAGGGGGTAGGGGACAGTGTGGGACAGGAGCAGGGGACGGTGAGGGACAGGAGCAGGGGACAGGAGCAGGGGACAGCAGGGACAGGAGCAGGGGGACCGTGTGCATCCCGAGTCTGACTATGCAGACACAGGCTCTGTGGCATCAGCTCCGTCCTGCGCGCCCTGCCCTGCCAGCTCAGACTCTGGGCAAGACTGCGTGTCCTGGTGTCTGTCCAGTGCATGGGGCAGCACCTGCAGCAGGGACCTCGCTGACATGCCACAGTACAGCTCAGGAAACGCGTGTTCCCTGTTGCCAACCCCTCTGGGGCACAGGTCACTCAGGGCCCTGCCACCTGCACGCGGTGACAGTCACACCCGTCATGGCACAAGCATCTCTGGGATGGCCCCTCCACTGGGCAGCAGGGGCCAGCGAGCGAGATGGCTGGTACCTGGGCAGCAGTTGCGCAGAACGTTGCAGAAGGTGCCCAGGCCCAAGACATGCTTCCGGGTTTGTGAAAGGCTGGTGCCGGGCTGCACCCCTGCGGCCACGTGGCCTAGCCCGGGGTCGCTCTCCCTGTGCTGACCCCACGTCATTCAGAACCAGCTCCCCCTCCGCTGCAGTGACCCACGGTGCCCACACAGGCTGCCCCTACAGTGCCCGGATGGCCATCACGGCAGCAGGTCCTGCCACAGCCTCTGGACCGGGCAAAGGAGCTGGCCTTGCCTGGCCTCTCTGTCCCTCCACCGGGGCCGTGGCCTTCAGGTTCTGGCTTCCTGCATCAGGGAAGAAACCGAAACTGGCGTCTCAGCCTCCTGCTTTGGGGAGCTTTGCTGCCCAGGTGAGCCCCGGGGAAACGCTGAGAGGACCCTTCCCGGGAGCCAGGATGTCAGGCTTCCTGTCTGGGCAGCGGGCACTCCAGGCAACGTCCCTCCCAGCCGTCCCTCGGGGAAGCGCTTTCCATGCACAACAAAGACTGAGGCTGCCCTGCCCACACCACCTCCTCGGTGACAGGACAGGAGGTGACCCCAGCCGCTCCCTTTGTTCCAGCTGCCCGCAGCCGCCGTGGCCTGTGGCTGACTCCTGTAAATTAACTTATGGTGTCTGCAGCGGGAGGCTGTGCAGTGCCCGGGCTGTTCTTTGTTCATCGTCTCCCGTGCGGAGATGCTGTGGGTTCCGGAACATGCGCAGAGCAGACTCGCCCACTCGCCCGTCCGAGCTGGGGTGTGAGCGCAGGGGGAGGCCCAGGATATGGGGACGGCGGGCCCCGAGGGGTGGGCTCCATCCGCCTGCGTCCACGGAGGAAACACACACCTGCTGCTCCGCATTCCTGCAGGTGCCCGCGTCCCCACTGCCCCGCGTCCCCCTGGTTCCCGCTGCCTCACGCCTCCCCCCCCCCCGGTCCCCTCTGCTCCCTGTGTGCACCAAGCGCGCGTAGATGAATCTTCCACACTTCCATACGCATTAACATGGAAAGGTAAGGATTTGATTTTGCTTAACTTGGAATTCCAAAACGCTCGTCGACTAAGAGTAGCCGTGGGGGTAATTTTGATCAGAATCCGCATGTGAAGGAGATTGCCCAGCGAGCCACTGACAGGAAATAATAGCTATTAATGATGAGATGATCATTAACGAGAACAATCGCCATTAAGGTTTATTGGAGCAATTTTTGCGTGCCATAATTGCTTTTATATGTGAAGAAATCATTTCATTATCACATCTGCACGATGCAGGTATAATAACCCAGTGATGGTGATGGCCCCACCCCCCTCCATGCCTGGATCAGAGGATGCCCAGAGTGCTACAGTGTTGAATGGGAGTCAGCACAAGTGGAATCCTTCCAGAACCTTAGCTCTTGACCATTAAACCCACAACCATTCAGAACTAATCATCTTCAACGTTTAAAGACTTATTCCCTATTAGGCTAAAACGCATCAAACGGCTGGAACAAGAGATGTGTGCAGCCACTGTGGAACGTGGGACCAGGAAATTCCTTCCACTCTGAGCCGGTGTCAGGGAGGCCTCGGGTCCCCGGGGGACTGAGAGGCACCGTCACCTTTTCTCTGCCTCCCACCCAGACCCCAACACCTGCACTGCCTCGAGCACCAGAGGTAGCTGCGTTTGTGAACGAGTCCAGTGAAACCCTCCCCCGGGAGCTGCAGTGTGGAGGAAGAAGCGTTGAGGTCGCCAAGCCAGAGGGGCAGCACCCGGGATCCCCATTCCTGCTGTCTCACGCCCCCCCCCCAAGGCCTGACCTTAAGGAGGTCACACTCAGCTGCTCACCCAAAGCCCCGGCCAGAATTACGTTCTCCTTGTCTGCTTTTCTCCAGTTCTGAAACACTGTCCTCTCCACTTACTTCCCGCTTGATTCCTCCGTCTGTATTTCAGCTTTGCTGGGTACCAAGACCTTTTCAGAAGGGAAATTGAGCATATCCAAATAAACCTTGTTCTGACTGCATAGCGGGTAGGGCGTTCGCCTTACAAGCGGCCAACATGGCCGACCCGAGTTCGATTCCTCCGCCCCTCTCGAGAGCCCGACAAGCTACCGAGAGTATTCGATATGCCAGACACAGTAACAACAA